GGGCAAAAGGACCTCTTCAGGGAGCAGTTATAGAGTAGGATCCCATCTAGGTAAGGCTGTGGCACTTAGAGTCACTGGTGACGCCCAGAAGGATAAGGAAGCGGCCCCTTTCCTTGCCCCTCCCCCACCCTCTCCTTAGAAATGTGGTCAGGTTCTGTGTGAGTGTGTGGCCCATAAAAAGAACTTGAGACATTTATAAACTCTATAAAGACAGCAAGTGTCCAATCTTCTTTGTGGACAATAAGCAGGGTTTAAGCTTCTGTCCCAGTGTCCTTGGGGATAGAAGAATGTGAAGGTGCAATCTGCACCAGTCAAGCCAGGACTTAGGAAGTAAGGGCATGAGTCCTGGTGATGCTCAGCCCAGGGAACCCGGAGATGCAGCAACAGCAAGAGGGAGTCCCGCTGGGCAGGCCTGTCTGGTGTGGACAAAAGCTGTTGCCTGTCTTTCTGGTGAACAATAAATGTTGTCCTCCATCAAGACATCAGCCACTGCAGCTGCCCCCAGTGGTGCACCCTGAGGGGAATTCAGGATGAAGAAAAACTGGATACTGGCCTTAGAGTATAGAGGTGTATTTATAGGAATAATTTCAATGAGCTCAGACTTGCACTAAAATCATTAACTTGGGATATCTGGTTTTTTTCTTTTTTGAAGTTTTTTTAATTTAAAAAATTTAAACAATTTTTTGATGATTAGCAGTAATAATTTGATGTTTGACTACTTTAAAAAATTTTTTTTACCAAAAACTCCTATATATCATGACTCTTTCCATACTTTTGGGAATAGTCCATAGTTGCTATCTAGGAGGCCATGTTCCCTGGCTACAATCCTCAGTAATACCCCAAATAAAACATAATTCTGAACTTGTAGTTTGTGCATTTAAAAAAAATTGACACTGGAGACATTCCAGCAAGAGCAGAGCACTCCAGGGAAAAGAGGAGGGAAGGGCTGAGAGAGACACTGGGTCCCCACACTCCTATTTATTGCAACTCACCTACTGAGAAAGGCAGAAAGGCTTCCCTTTTCTTAAACTGTCCATTCTCCAGAAAGTGCTCCGGATTGAACGTGTCTGGGGTGGCCCACTCTGCAGGGTCCCTGTGCAGTGCCGTCAGGTTGGTCAGGATCCTGGTTCCCTAGAACAGGCAGCAAAGACTCAGGCAAGGCTTGACCCACACAACACACCTGTGCAGATGGCAGGTGTCCCCTGGGCTCCCACACCAAAGCCTGACAGCACCCTGAACCCCCTCAACCTCCTCAACTCACCACCTTCTGAGCCCAACCTCTAGGACCCTGCTCTTTGCCAGGGGACAGATTACAATGATGGATGGAAGTGTCTTTTGGGAATTTTACCAGGGAAGTGTGACCACTCTTGACTGCAGAATGGATCTCTCCAGGGACACGTCAGTGTAGAACTTGGGAGGGTACATGTGTGCATCAATGAGAGAATACTGTGACAGCTGGCCAGTCAATATTGTCCCCAAACCAACCCAGCTGCTCCATGAAGTGATAACTATGGCAGCTCTTTCAAGGTAAAAATGCCTCATGTATCTTTGTTTCTCCCACCCTCTTCCCTTGACAGTCTAGGTTATTCCACAGAAGGTTGAATAAGAGAATCAGGTCATCCAGTGAAGGAACCACCATCCTTCCAGGTACATAGCAAGAACCCCAGGAGTCCTCCTCAATATCTCTCTTTCCCTCATTCTGCCTTCATCCAATCCTTCAACAAGGCTGGTCAAGTTTACTTTAAATTCCTCTTGATTCTGTCTCCTCCATTTTAGGTCCACCTCTTCCACCCTGGTCCAGGCTACACCCTTGCTTCCCTCAATAGCTGTCTAACTACCCCATTCCCTCCCTTTCCCCTTTCCTTGTGCTCCCCTTGCCGAAAGCAGAATTAGCTTTAAACAGGACTTCATCATGTCACAGCCATCCACCCAGCACACCTGGAACTTGACAGACACCCTCACTCTTAGATGAAGCATGCATCATCTGCCCCTGTCTGAGCCCCTCCCTCTGCCTGCACTCCCACTGCAGGGAGAGTCTTGCAGTTTCTCAAAGTCACCACATGTTCCCACTCATGTCCATGCCTCTTTACAGGCTGTTCCCCTTGCCTGGAATGACATTCCTCCCCATTTTGTCACCATGTTAACTATTAATCATCCTTTAATTTTTAGCTCAAACATCACATCCTTTTGTGAGCATTCTCTGCCATCTCTTATTCCCACTTCCTATTCTAGCATCCTTCTTCTTGAGAGAAACCAGTGACTTTTTTCTGCTGGACAGTTATCATAGTTTGTACTTAAAAATTTGCATGATTGTTTTCCACAGACTTGTTTTCTTAGACCTAAATATTTTTGGTATTTAATGAGTATTTGCTGAATTAATAAAGAATAATAACTACTATTTGAAACATTCTCCATACTAAGTACTAGGTTAAATGTTTTGCATGATCACTTTACCTCTGCCTCTGAGGTAAGTAATCAATGCATTTTCACAGATAAAGAATTTTAAGCTCTGAGCCGTTGAATAAGAGTCACAGGTAGGGGGCAGTAGAGCCATGATTTGAACTAGGAGATTTGACATCAATGCTATGGCTCTGAGGCTTTACCAAATACAGTCAAGAGAAGATGTCTCTGTTCCTAGGATGATTATTCAAACAGATATTAAAAATCAATGATAGAAGGAATATTGAGCTGAGCTGGATCCATGAAGCTGAATGAACAATTATTAAAGTGCAAAGAGTACCTGTGAAATAATTTAGAGCTCAGCCTCCATCCACAAGATGGTCAGTCAGCAAGAGCATAGTGAATGCAGTCCCACAGGAATAGCTGCTTTTCCAGCTCTGCAGGGATGGTGACTCAGGGGTGTCCAAGAGTAAGCTCCTCTTGTTCAACCTCTTGAGATCTTCCCCAGGACACACACAAAGGGACTTAGACAAAGTGAGATGGATCCACAGAAACCCACCAAAGTGGTGAGAAAGCAAAGTGTGAATGTGCAGAGTGCAGACAGGACACTAGGGTGCAGAAGAGAGCCATCTGCCCAGATGCTAACGTGCAGGGGATGGAGTGAGAGCAGAATTTCTTTAGTTAGGGATTTGCAGATATACACTAGTATGTATAAAACAGATAAACACCAAGGTCCTACTCTATAGCACAGGGAGCTGTATTCAGTACTTTCTAATACCTATAATGAAAAATAATATTAAAGAGTGTGTGTGTATGTGTGTGTGTGCATGTTTGGGTGTATATATATATATATATATATACATATATATGTATATATATCTCTGAAACTCTATGCTATACAACATGAATTAACACAACATTGTAAATTAACTATACTTCAATTACAAAAAATAAAATAAGCTTCCTTTGTGAGGACTGGTGATTTAACCAGTACCAACTGAAAACTACTGCAGTGAGACTCTTTAAAGTCAAAGTAATGCAATTGCTGTGGAGAGAAAATGATGCTGTTCAAAAGAGATGAACCTGAATCAGAAAAGATTTGATTCTAGAACCCAACTCCTCCCAGGTTGTAGTTGAGAGACCTTTTGCAAGATTACGCACTCTCTAAGGACAGAATTATTCCAATTTATAAATTGGATCAAGACATTTAGAAAGAATCTATATAACCCATGGTACATAATCACTGCTTAATAAGCATTGGTTAATTTCTCTCCTTTTCTGATATTTAGTACTTCTCATACTTGGATTGGTTGTGAGATGATAGTCCCATCACAGCTATATAAGTCAAAGCTAGAAAAGTACCAGTGTGGATATTATGTGAGAAACACCAGCATGAATGTGATGCTGGTTCACATTGTCTCAAATGTTCCTTCATAGTTGAATATCCTGTAACCCCAGGACTGTGAAGCAGAATTTTCCAAAGTAAGTCTGGCAGGTCCCTAGTCCTGTGAGAAGCTCTACCAAGGCAAAGAAAGGACCTCGTGTCAAAGTCTGACTGAGAACCGCTGCTTGCTGTCTCCCCACAGAGAATCACAGTGCACATCACATAGTCAAAACACTGAGAAATCTCAAAGCAAAAAAAGTCATTTTTTGTGTAAACACATCGACCTAAGAACCTCCTTCTCTAACATCTACTAATATCTTGCTAAACCAACATTCTAAAGACCACAAATGGAGAAAAAAAATAGTATTATCTCAGTTCTAATATCTGTCCTCATTTAAGTGATTCCCTAGGACAAGAATCCATGTCACTTTCCCAGTTGAGATTCCCACTATTTAAAAAGGTGAGCATGGAGATCTGAGGCCACGAGTGAGACCACAATTACCTTGGGCAGGTGGTATCCATCCAGCGTGGTGTCCACCGTCACCTCCTTGGGCACGTTCAGGGGGACGATGTTGCCCATTCTCTGCACCTCGTGGATGACAGCGTTGGTGTAGGGCATGGACTCCCGAGCTGCCGTGCTCGGCTGCTGACTTTGGCCAAGCACCCTGTCGATCTCAGCCTGTACTTTTTCTGGAAAAGCAGAGAAAGTTCTATTGTTCTAATATTCATTACCCTCCTTGAGCCTGGCTCAGCGAAGGAATGAAATAACCAGGATCAAAATGGTTAAAGTTATAGCAGGCTGTGTAGACGGTAGTTTCTCAGGAGGGTACCTGAGTTCAGAGTGGGCCCTGGTTTAGCACAAATCTAGTTGCAATTCTTGCTCCTCAACTCTTGCTTCCTGCTGCACGTTACTGAAACCCTTGAGATTCAGTTTCCTCTTCTTATTAGTGAGGATGAATCTACTTTCATCTTTAGGATGTTTTGAAATTTACATCAACTGATTCAGGGAAGTGTCCAACAAATGAGAAAAAAACCCCTGCCAATTGTGCCCCAATTTCTCTTTTCCTTTTTTTCTACAATAATGTAGATGTTAGCTGGATACATGGTTCCCAGCTAACGACTGTATTTCCCAGGTTCCCCTGTGACTATGTCTGGCTAACAGAATGTATGTGGAGGATGTTCAATGCTTGGAACCTGCCCTTCTTGTTAGGGCGTGTGCTTCCTTCTCCTTCTTCTCTTCCCACTGGTGCAAAGGCAGCCTCAGTGGGGAGCCGTCGCTGAGACTGCAAACAGGGCATCACTCTAGATGCAAAGAGCAACACACTGGAAGGACCTAGGGCCCCACAGAGTTCTGCAGAGTCCAGCTTAGATTTTTCACTTGAGAGAAAAATAAAGTTCCTTTCCTTTCACTATGATCATTGAAAAATTTTAAATAGTGGTAAAATACACATAATGTAAAATCTAACATCTTAACCATTTTTAAAAGTACAATTTAATAATGTTAAGTATATTCATATTCTTGGATGACCAATCTCCAGAATTTTTTTATGTTGCAAAATTGAAACTCTACATCCATCCAATCATAACTCCCCATGTTCCCCACCCCCAGCCTCTGACAAACACCATTTGACTTTCACTTTCTATGAACTCAATCCCTCTAGGTACCTTGTATAAATAGAAACATACAATATATGTCTTTTTTGGAATGGATTATTTAGTTTAGTGTCATATCCTCATTCATGTTGTAGCATGTATCAGAATTTTTCCTTTTCAAGGCTGAATAATATAACATTGCCTTTCACATTTTGTTTGTCCATTCATCCATCAACAGACACTTGTGTTGCTTCCACTTCTTCTGTCATTTTAAGCCATTGTTATATTGGAACCTCTAATAGAGAAGCCAAATCTAGATCTTAACTAGGTGATTTTTAAACTTAAAAACAAAACCCTGTAATTCACAGTTACAAATGCACTTTACATCATGACTCAGGACACATGAACAAAAATATACAAACAGATATAGCATACATTTCTGCATATATAAGGAAATAAATAAAGTTTCATGAGAAAAACTTATCCTTAATACACAGGAAGCACTCTAATCTTTTCTAATTTTTAAAATTTTTTAATTTAGGAAAAAAATGGTCTTGATCCACTAAATTGACTTTATGTTCTGTTAATAAACTATTGCCCCAGTTTGAAAACCTGTATCCCAATAGTCTTTATGCTTCATGTGCTCAACCTGTTCTGGGGTCTAGAGAAATAAAAATGATGTCAAAGTCCCTGACCTCCAATGAACTACAGCCTGTGGGAAGGATGTCTCACTAATGTGTGGAAATCACAATGAGGGAGGTGCACGTGGTTGTCTCCAGAGGAAGGAAACTTTGGTAGTTTCCCAGAGAGTGGGGTGACATCTGAGTGGAAGTTGTATCTGAGTAGATTCTTCAAGCAGAGCTAGTGGATTAGAGTGTAAAGAAATTAGGGCAATACATTCTTGTGTTTTTCTTCTAGGGAGGAGCAGGTGTGCCAGCACAAATAAGGACAAGGCAGTGAAAACCACATGTCGTTTAGTGAGGCCACCATGTTGGATGGGTAGAACTGAAGCTGAGCAGGCAGGAGGGGCACATCACAGGTCAGGACACACCAGACTCAAGAGTTTGAACATCATTCACAGGACAGTGGAAGACATGACTTAACAGGAGGGAAGGTGAGGACCAGGTTTCATCTCTGAATGGTATGTAACTCTTATCAGGAATTCACCATGATGTCCATGGACTTCACTGTTTTCCCTACTAGACTGGGAGTTTCCTGAGGGCAAAGACTCTCCATTATATTTGTATTATGTGGACCCATCACAGTCCTGACAGGAAAACTGAAGAATGTGCTCATTCTCCAGTCCATCTGGTGCTGTGAATGTCCTACCATCTCTCCATCCTACCATCTGTCTTCTGGCCCCAACTTTGGGAAGTGTCTTCCAGGAGGTGCCATCCTGACCTGCCCAGGCACACTCACTGACATGCTCACCTTGGATTTCTGGGTAGAAGGCCATGTAGAGCAGACCCCAGCACAGTGTCGTTGCAGTTGTCTCCGTTCCAGCAAGGAAGAGGTCCAGGGTGCTGTAGACAAGGCTTTCTTCATTGAAACTTGAGGTAGCATTGTCCTTATGCTAGAAAGCACGATGTTTATTGGTTTAATCAGATGGTTCTTGGTTGTCACAACAAATAGAGGCTTTATCCTGGAGAGAACATGGAAGGAGAGGCCTCCAGGAGAAACGACTTTCCCTTTAGCCATCTCAGGAGGATAGAATATCACTAGATCCTCCTGCCCCAAATGCTGCATGTTTTGTTATCTTTGCTGGATGAAAATCAAAAGAACTAATTTTTTATGCCCATAATTTGTTAGAATCTAGTAGTAGACCTAGAAAACAGCCTGGGGTTCCAACATTAGCCATATCATTTACTATCTGTGTGACTTGAGCAAGTTAGTAACTCTCCCTGTGCTTCACTTTCCTGTTTGAGAAAATAGATCTAACAATACTCACCCCTTATGATGGCATTATGAATTACGTGAGATGCAAAGGCGGTAGCAAACACTCAACACGTGTTTGTACTGAAAGAGTACAGTGAATTTCTGTGAAGCACAATTCTCATTTTTCCCCATTAGTCTTTGCCTTTCTAGGTTAAATTTCTCTGATTCCAACAACCTTTCCTCATGGTTCTCCAGCATCTTTACCACCTTCCTCCAGAAGCTTCACTGTATCAACATTCCTCTGCATGTGGTCCCACACCTGCACACCTTACAGCTGGTGAAGTCTCCTCCTCTGAGGAGAAACCAATCCTTCTACTAATGCTATGTCAACAAGGAGAAATAGGAGGAAGATGGAAAGAAATCTACCTTTCTGTCAATTCCAGGAGAGAAATAAATCATCTGATGATTTATAGATGATGACAGGAATGCAGTGATGTGTATTAACCAGAAGGGTTACCACATAAAGGCTATATATCCAATTTGGCTTTTTTCCCTGCTTCTTTGCTGTAATGTTTGGAAAGTGGATGATATGAGGATGAAGGAGGAAAGGAAAGTCTCTCCCACTCGAGACTGAACTCTGACAGCAGACTCAGCTCTACTTGTGTTCTGTGCTGGGGAGCTGAGGGAAGACTAGGGAACTGGGCATTGGTCCTGCTAATAATGAAACAATACCTACCTTTCCTTTGTGTTTCGCTCCTTCAGATTTGGGTAGAGAGTAGAGAATACACTATGATAAGGCAGTATTTCAGGTTTCAAAGGCCTACAGCCAAATATGGTTAAACTTCTATCTTTATTTCTTTTTTTAAAATTTTAAACATTTAATTTAACATTTGTGAATGCATTTCTTTTTTAAATTGAATATAGTTAATTTCAGTACATGAATATACATGCATTCATTTTCATATTCTTTTTCATCACGAGCTACTCTAAGATCTGTCTTTATTTGTAATTTTCTCATCAGTTCTGAGTTAATGGTATTTCTCCACTCTATGAAATGCTGCCTCTAATTTACTCCCCTCTGCTGGGCTGAATGATGAGCCCCAGAGATGTCCATGTCCTGATCTCTGGAGCTTGGGGACTGCATCTTATATGGCAGAAGGGACTTTGCACATAGATTAAGTTAAGGATTTTGATATGGGAAGATTATCCTGGATCATCCCAGGGGGCTGAATATGTTCCCAAGACACTTTTTAAAAGGGAGACAAAAAGTCATAAAAAGGAGATTGAACATTGGTGTCAGAGAAGGTGCTACATTGATGACTCTAAAGTTGAAGGAAGGGGCCATGTGACAAGGGGTACAGGCAGCCCCTAGAGGCTGGAAAAGCCAAGAAAATGGATTTTTCCATTCTTCCAGAAGAAGACAGCCTTGCATGACCCTGACTTTGGCCCAGTGAAGCTGGATTCAGAGTTCTGATGTTTTGAGCTAAAGGAGAATAAATTGTGTTGTTTTAAGCCCCCAAGTTTGTGGAAATTTGTTATAGCAGCAATAAGAAACTTGAATTCCCTCATTTACTCTTTTAGAACAAAACTCAGGAAACAACCCTGGATTCCTCACCTTCTCTATTTCCTGGAGGAAAGCATCTATAAAGTCTCTTGCTTCAGCAGGATTCCAATCTCTCTTGTGGTTTTCAATCACATGGACAATGGCCGTTTTCAGCTTCTTCCTGATACTAAAGAGCCTTTGGTGGGGTCCAGGGAGGATGTTCATTATCCGTGGAAAGGCATCATAGAGCTGATTGAGAAAAACGAAATAATCATGGATAATATGTGGTGTCAATTTAAAATTTTTAACACAATATAAACATCCTGTCTTTCCATCTCTTTTTTCTGTTTACACTTAACCCCTGGAGTCACCATCGACTCTTCTTATCTCTTTCCCCCTCTTCTTACCCCTCTGGCCAAGCATTTCAGCCCTGCATCCACAATATAACCAGTGCCAGACAACTTCTCACAGCTCCAACTGCTTTGTCACCCTTTCAACCTGGATGCTGTAATAGCTTCCAACAGGTTTCCTGATTCCATCCTTAACCCCATTCGCAGTAGACTTTCCATTGAGCTCCCAAGGGGTTAACTGTTAAGTTTAACTGATCATTTCACTTTCTGGCTCTCAATCTTTCAATGACTTTTCATGACATTTAAATAAAATTCTATTCTTTCCAGTGCAGCCCCACTGGCCTCTGTGGTAACACCCAGGATGTCTTTGTTTAGGTCTATGCATTTGCTATTCCCTCCACCTGGAATGGTCTTTCTCCAAGATCTGCACAGCTCCAGCCCCTTCTTTCATTAAGGTGCTGCTAAATGTTACCTACTTGGACCTGTATTCCCTGATAATCCTATAATTAGCAGAACTTCTGCAACCTCTTTCCATTTCTTTATTTTGTTTTATTTTACTTATTTGGAATTATCACGTGTGTGTGTGTGTGTGTGTGTGTGTGTGTGTGTGTGTAATACATGTCTATCTGTCTATGTATCCGTGTATCTATCTAGTTAAATAATAGATGTATTTATTTGTCTATCCCCACTATGATGTGGGTAATACATTTTATACTGAAATACAGTGGTTTTTCAAGATATTTTTTCTAATAATATCTGTTAGAAAATAGTGTAATATAATGGAAAGTGGCTTAGATTTAAAATGAAACAGGCTGAGTTTGACCATTAGCTCTGTTGCTTTCTAGCTATCACACTTTGGTAATAATAGAAATAATAAAAACAGTAATAATGTTGTGGTTTGCTGCTACTTAAACTAGCTGCCAGTGAGGCCCAAGGTTTTTTCAAGACCAGATGACATGAGATCAACCGCACATTTAACACAGAGCCAGTGGACACAACGTGGATTTGCTTGCACATTTCCATATCTCCCTGCACACATCTCATCTTAGTTGAGTTGGAAAAACTCAACTAAGAGAAACCATGTGTAGTTGTCCGTCAAAGGGCCTGGTCTCTTTTGTATCTCTAAGAAATGCTTCTACCCTGGCCCCACTGCCCCATCCTGCCATCCCAGGAATTTCTCTCCCCTGGGAATAGTCAGATGGGTACCCACAGAACTCTCATGACTTTGTAGTTTCTATCTTAATAGGAGGGAAGAAAATGGAATTACTGAATGAGGGAATTACCCTGATTAGAAGTGAGAACAGGGAACATTATTCAAAAATAACATTAACTATAATCATAATAGTGCACATTCATTAGGCCCCATTAATGTACCAAGAATCATGTGAACTGTTTTATCTGTTTTGGTGTAAGGGGTCCAGAAAGCCCCAGGCAAAGTGCCTGTCAGGAATAAATAAAAGTAAACCCTCTTCTAGACACCAGAGAGGGGACCTCCACACCGGTCTGATTTTCCCTTAAAGAGTCTTCCGAATCCAAAAAAAAAGACTATGAGAGACCAAGAAGCTGAGCAGGGTTACTGACAGACTCACAGGCCCAGCAGCACAGAGGAGGAGGGCAGGGCCCACCAAGGAAGGGGTGAGGTTTGAACCGCCTACATCTATATCCTAGAAAATTATGTGATTGACCATGTCAAGTGTGGATGGGCATGTAAGCAGTGAAGACACCTGGGAAACCTTAAGAACTTTTACACACAGGTGTAAATGTAGGAGAAATGGGACGATGTGCCCATGTGAATGACTGAATAAGAATGTTCATGGCAGCTTTAGTCACAACATCCCCACCCTGGAAATCACCCAATTGTCATCAGTAGGAAAAGAATAACAAACAGTGCCATATTCATATGACAGAAACTAAACAGAATTTTTAAAAAGAGCAACTAAACTATGAATCTCAAAATTGTGTGCCCAGGGAGCACCAGGCACAGAAGAGAACTTCTGAGGGAGGATGGAGGTGGGGGGTTAGGGAGATACATGGAGGGGAGGGCTCAAAGGTGATGGAGATATTGTGCTTTTTAAAGAAAACAACATATATGCACAGGTGTATGTCATATGAAATTCTGTACTTTACATGGACATTAATAACATTCTTTATCTATCATAAATATTTAATAATGTTATCTAAAACAATACATTCAACAGATTGATTTCAAATATGTTTTTGTTAAACTCAATTTTAAAAGGTTATGTATTAGCTTAAAAAAATAAAAACAGGAAGATCCCATCACATCTGTGTCTGACATCAGCCCAACATCTTTACCCAAGGTAGGAAGTGAGAACGTCTCACCTGGCAGCATATTGATGTCTGCAGACTCATGAACTCCTCCACCAGCCTCAGCAGCTCCTGGAACCAATCATCCTGATAGTCAAAACGCTCCCCAAAAGTGATGGAGCAGATAATATTGGATACCGCATTCTTGACTTTGAAGTTAGGGTCGAAAGGCTGTCCTGGAGGGAGAGAATTGGGGTCTTTCTGTTTCCTCTGAGGGCCTACCCTACATGACACAGGACACACTGAGTACAGAACCACCTCTGAGACTGTGGCCCCAGCACCCTCCACAGGGTCTGACCTACAGCAAGTACTCAGTCAGTGACTCGAAGTCAAACTGAGGACCAGGATTTAAAATCAATAATGTGTTCTATACCCATCTTCTCATGTCTACTTCTCCAGCTCCAAGAAGGGAGGTCATGCTTAGTTGTTCACTGTTTAGCCCTCAGTGCCCTACACAGTGCTGGGCACAGGGCAGGCACGTGGGCACTTATTAAGCATCTGGCCAGTGAAGGAATGAGCCGCAGTCTCCTGCACCTGTCCTATGACACACTCACCATCTTCCTCTCCTATTGCCTGGGTGAGGTAGCGGGCCTCTTCCTGAATGCGTTCCTCTAAGCTCTTCTTTCCTAAACCGAAGTTCCTCAGTGTCATCAGGGCGAACCTTCTTTGTTCCTTCCATACTTGGCCATTGGACATGACCAATCCTGGAAAAACAAAGCCAACATTGTGAAAGAGAGCCAAGAAATACTATGAGGATATGTATCAGATGGAAGGAAGAAGAAAGGCATCAGGCATATGAAAACTATCCATAGAAACATCCCAAAGCAGTGAGTATAATGAGTATTATGATTATTATTTACTACTTCTTGCAATGCTGGGCACATTCGTACTTTTAATGCACTAAGTTATTTAGTACTCACAGAACCTCTCTGAGCAGGTACAATCATTCTTGCCAACACTGCTGTCCAATTTTTTTTTAATTTTTTATTGATTTATAATTATTTTACAATGTTGTGTCAAATTCCAATGTAGAGCTCAATTTTGTTGATAATAAAAATGAGATACAGTGATCACAGTAAACTCTGCAAGGACACAGAGTTAGTAAGCAGCTGAAGAGGCATTCAAATTCAGGCTCCCTGACTCCAGAGCCCATGCTTTAATAACTTATCACCTAAGTATATTTCAGTGTTGGTTATGTACATGGGAAGCATGCACTTATGGATTAGATAAAATCCATACTCACAAGGAGGCATGGCTCTAATTTAAGCCAGATCTTAAGAGATAGATGAATTACTGAAGAAAACAAGGAAGTGTGAACAGCCTATGCTGAAAGAACAATACAGGCAAAGGATAAATATATCTTGCTGTGTTCAATAGGCCATCATTCATTTCATAATATGGGGGAGGCCACACTCCTTTCAGTCTTCACGTGCAGAGCATTCCTCAGTCTCTTTCAGTGTCTGGCTTTGGCCTCCACCCTCCCCATGAAATGTCCCTCCCTGCTGTCAAATCCAGGATCCTTTCAACCTCATCTGGATACATCAGCAGCCTGAGACACTTCTCTCTTGAAACACTCTCTTCCAGTGGTGCTCAGGACACCTCACTCTCCAGATTTTCCTCCTAATTCTCTGACCAGAGAGAACTTACTATTTGTTGTTGTTGTTAATTCATCTGCTTCTATCAAATTTTGAAAAGATGCAGTTCTTCAAGATTCATGATCTTCAGGCCTCTTCTCTTCATACCCTATCTTCCATTTTGAGAAAATCTCATTGACTCTAACAACTTTAAATGACATCTACTGATACTGAGCATCTGTTTCTGTCTCCCATCTCCAGACGTATGGTGTCTGCTTGACTCTGCTGACTTAAAGGATTTCAAGCTCAGCGTATCCATGACTGAATTCCTGACTTGCTCCACACAACTACTCCCCCGCCCAGCCAGCCTCTACTTGTCTTTCCCCATATGTTCCTTCTTCCCTTTATCTACACACTTGGGTGTCCACCTCAGTATCTCATTCTCTTTCCATTTAGGTCATCATGTCTTACTGGATTTACCTCCTGAAGATCTTAAATCCATGTATCTTCACAGCCACTATCCTGGTCTAATCTACTGTAGCCCAAGCTCCCACCTTCTCTAACCAAAAATGCTGCAGAGGTCTCTTTATCCCTTTATTCTATTCTTGACATTGCAGCCTACATTAATCTTCAAGTTCACTCTTTGAACATGATGATTCCTTCCTCTGCTTAAACCATTTGAGAGTTTCCATTGTTGTTCAGATAAAAGCAGCATCCTTAACAAGAACGTGCCTGAAGGATCCTGGCCAAACGCAGCAGCTTCACCTCCATTGAATCCCTGCGCTGCCACACTGGCCCCCTTTCAGTTCCTCAAGTTCACCTCCCTCCTTCCCTCCTCAGAGCCTTTTAATATTCTATTCCCTCTGGCTATTGCTTTCTCATTGTATTAAATTAATTGTCATTTACATTCATTAGCTTTTTTGAATCTCAGGACTAGATTAGTGATCCCTAATGGGTGTGCTCGGCACTTACCTTCATAACACTAAGATTTTAAATTATTAGAGTAATTGATACTGTCTTTCTGAATAGAATGTAAGTTACATGATGACAAAGATTTTGTCTGTTCTACTCACTGTTACATCACTCATTTCTGCCACCAGGTATCATATGGCAAATTACAAATAGAGTGAATGGATGTTGAGGTAGTGGGTAAAATATTTCAAAGAGTAATTCAGAAGCACCTGAAAAAAGGGTGCTTTGGTGGAAGAAATGATTTGAAATTGTTAAATGTGTTAGATTGTTAAATGTGTAAGTTTATTTAATGATCATTTTAAGTATTCATGCAAAACTCTTCTAACATAGGCTGGAGATACCTTGCAGGTCAGTCTTAATATTAAAGCATAAGGAACTAGAGGCATGGAGGGATCACATAATCAGTAGAAGGATGGAGATACACATCCATTCTCCTTGGGGAAGAGATTTCAATGGGAAAGCAGAAAGAGACACCGAGAACGCCTTGCCTCTTCTTCTGCTTACAAGACATATCACAACATTGAGTGATGAGAACACTGATGTATCAAAGCATCAAGAGTGAGTTCATGCAGGTGACACAGCTTTGCCCATATCCTTGACATTGGGGCTGACCCTACCAGGGTCCCTGAGGACATGCCTTCAACAGGGAAATGCGGGCACTCAGCTTCCTTCAGGGACAGGAATGTTATGATGGGCCTGGTCCCTGGGAGTGTTGGACAATTAGTCACAGAGTGATCTTCTACAGACCACAGGAATATCAACCATATACATCTTACATTAGTCCACACTTACCTTTGTTCAGAAAGAGACGTTCTATAATAGGTGATATGGGGCGGTTCACAAAGTTTTCGCCCTGGTGGACAAGGGCTTCTTTGATTAAAGGCAATCCAGTTAAAAGAACTGAAGACCAGTCACCAAATTCCAGACTAAGAACGTTCCCATATTTCTTCACCAACTGGAAAACAGTAAAACAGTCATGGTTGAATGTGCCACGTCTGTGTGCCCAGGAATGAACAGTGTGTGGGTAGCTTGCCTTGAGTGGGTATGTGTGTGCATGTTTGTGTGTGTGTGCATCTTGTTCAGATGGAAATGTTTCTACCTTTTTCCATTTCTCCTCTTCTCAATTAGATTTGGGTTGAATTCACTACGGAACATAAACTTTATTATAATTATTTATTCATGTGTTCAACCTACTTGAACTGAGTAAGCATGTACCATGTGCCCTAAGAAGCAGGCATAATGATACAACTACAGCAAACAAGGTCTCTAACCTCAAGCATCTTAGGGTCCAGTGAAAGGAGAGAATTCAGCACATGGGACTTACCAGACAAGGCTGAGATATGTTTACTGAACATCTGGTGTAGCAAGCATGAACTTCCCAGCAAATCAGATCTGTTTAACTAGAGGAGAATGTCCCCTCCCTCAACACTTTCCAGACAATAGAAAATTCACTATCGGGCTTGGGGTCAGGTGTGGAGAAGCACACACTAGTTCTGGAGCCAGGGGCAAATCTTAACACTGTGGTTGACCTGCTGTGAGCTTCTGAGAATTTTGCTTCCTTCTTTTTGAGCTTCAGCTCCCCTGGTATACAGCAGAAAATTATTCTTCCCTCAAAGGGTTCTGTGACACGAATGAGGGCAGAAATGTGAAAGGCATTTTGTTTTCTGGTACCTGGCAGACAGCCACTGGAGACTGAGGAATGAATGGGCTCTGTGTGCAAAGGGAAGCAGATGGACATGCTCATGGTGACAGAGAGGATGAGAGCACAGGAATGATGCCCTGGAGAAAGATACTCGTGTCACAGACAACCACATCCACTGGGTGCCATGTTAAGCAACTTCACATTTTATCTCATTTAACTTCACAAACACATTACAGAAGTAATGATTTCCTTTGTCTTTCAGAAAAGGAAAATAAGTTACAGTCATAGTAACTTAGCCAAGGTGAGAAAGCTATTGGATATTTAAGTGAATTTGGCAGGGGTTACACAAGTTATAAGGGCAAAGACATGAACCCAGATGGAACTATGACCTTAGAGTTTAGTGGGGTGAGAGAGTGAATGTGAGAATGACGGTGAGGGGGGCAGAGAGAGAGAGAGGACGGAAGAGTATGAATGTGTGTCATGAGTGTACACAAATGAGCAAGTATGTGCCACTATGGCTTGGATGGCAGTCAATGGCCATTAATCAGAGTCTATCCTGACTTGTTAATTCAAAGGACAATTCTAGGTAGACCCTGTCCCTGCCTCCTGTGTGCCGGGCTATGTCCAGCTGTGTCCAGCTGCAGACAGTAGTACCAAACAGAGGGCTCACTTCTTCCAAGTGTCTGTGACCCCTCCTCCCCAAATGCCATCCCCCATGCTCTCCCATGTCACCCAAGGTACCCTGGATCCCATCAACCTACTGGAGCAAATATCATGGATTTTGTCTCATTCCACCGCCCTGCTCCCATATTAAAGACCATCCTGAACTGAATCCTTCCATTGTCCTTTTGGCCCAGAGTTTTCCACCAATGTTTGTTCATCACTAGCAAAATACGTATTGTCTTGATAGACAGGGCAAAGCCAAGGTTCCATCTCAAGTTGGTGCCTCTAGGTACATGTCTTTTTTCTAAGAAATGGCAGGAATTGGAATCAAGATTTTTTTTTTTACTTCATCTTCATGAATGGCTGGGTAAAATTCTAGGGATTTATGAAAAGGATTTCTTGATGAATTTAGAATGTATAATAAAGATGTTTTGGAAACTGCTGACAATGTCAGGTTAAGCTAAATGACTCCTGACTGACAATGTGTACAACCTGGAATTTCAGCTTCTTCTTGGAAGGGATTTGACCTTCAATTAATGTTTCCTGAAATGAACTTCCTCAGAGTTCCATCTCTGCTCTCTGCCCATGCATATTTCTAGTCCAACAGAACTAGACCAAATACTTTTAGGGTGTGCTCATTGTGCACTGAAGACAGTGATGTCTGGCAATTTTTAAGTGGATCCTGCCAGTCAGGTGCCAATTGCTTTACATGGAGGTAAATATAAGACCCATAATCATCTGGGAAAACTTTAAAGGCAGAGAATACTTCTCAATGTACAACAAAAAAGAAGTCATTAAAAAAGAGAGAGTGTAAGGGAAAAAAGGAAGTTAAAAATAACATGCATCAGGAAGCTAAAATACGCTAAAATGAGAAATGAAAATAGAAAAAGAAAGAGAAATGTATTAACATACACGCTATAAAGGGCAAACAAAAGTAAGTGGAGACAGGAAGCTTAATATGAAAGATACGAATTCCAAATTTCAGATTTCACACCTAAATAATAGTACTTTAAATAATAAAGTAGAAGAAATAAATGTTTAGAATTTAAAAAAATTATACATGATGAATTAGTGAGATAGGAAATTGAAACAAGACATAAAGTTGCATAAGATTAGAGTGAATCTAAGCTCTTAAATTCAAAAATCAGCATAACAAAGACATAACAAAAGAAAAAGAAATAAAGGAAGATAGTACCAATTTGTTCTCCCACTAGCAGTAGGTAAGGGAGTCCGTTGCTCTGAACACTCACCACTGGTGAACAGTGTGTGTATGTGAGTGTGAGTGTGTGTGTGTATGTGTGTGTGGTTTGGACTGGGCACATGGAGCGCTAAGATTCTGTCTCTCATTCACTAATTTTGTATTTGAAAATGTTGTCTCAATGTGTCTGTATTGCTTTTATAGTTAAAAAGTATTTCTATCCAATAAAGCAAAAAAGGAAACCTAAAGATCTACAGAATAAAGCTTCATAACAGTGGTTCTTACCCTCTTTGAATCACAGAATCCTTTGAAAATTGAGTGTATGTCAGGGACCTGCTCTTCAGGACAAATCTATACACATGAACATGGTTCCGCACACATGAACTTTCAGGTGTTTACCAGTCCCCTGGGGCCCATGAACTCCTGATCTCACAGGTAATTCTTGGGGTTACATAAGTTATAAGGACAAAGACATGAACCCGAGATGGCACTATGACCTTAGAGTTTAGTGGGGTGAGAGAGTGAATGTGAGAATGATGGTGAGGGGGTCAGAGAAACAGAGAGAGAGAGAATGGAAGACTGTGAGTGTGTGTCATGAGTATACACAAATGAGCAGGTTTCTGAGACTGGTCTGTGGAAATCAAATTCAAGTTCAATCCAACAGGTTTTTATGAACTGCTTCAGAGTTGTCAAGTGCCTTCTGACAGTGCTAGGGTATAAATGGGGACAATACACAGGTCCATACCCTGTGGTGTTTTCCTGAAGTGTCAAAGTCTCTTGAAATAGGCTGACAGCAGGAAAAACTAACACTTAGCAGTAGATGATATACATTAAAATGCTGGAGAGAGGGACATAAAGCTACTGAGAGAAGAGATAAATTTCCACTCCAGACATGGGAGAAAATCTCTTAATAGGAGATGGGAATTGGACCAGATCCTAAATGAAGGTCAGGGTGCCAGCAAAAGGACGTGTAGTGTGAAGGCAAAGACTTTAGGCTGTGGGAAAGGCATAGACAAATACAAAGAAAGGAAAATGTGGGTGTCCAGGAACAAGTGACCATCCTGTCTGCCTGGAGTGTAGGGTTCATCAAAGAGCACAAAGCCTGTGGTCGCTTAAGGCCGGGTGCTTGGGACACAGTTCCTGAAGCTTAGATCCTCACAGTCTAATAGAACATATAGATGGATCATCAGTTCTTATTATTACCATTCTGTACAATAAATTACTTGATGGGAGACACTTAGGAAGCTCATAAGGGGACCAGAGGCTAGGATCAGTTCCTGGAAAAGGTATCTGTTATTTGTGTAGGGAGATGGAAGTCAAGGCTGGCAGGGAAATGTGAGCTAGACTGAGGATGTCTTAATGTCAAGTGATATGTTTTAGATCTTGTTTTGTTTGCAATTAGAAAATTGAATATAAGAGATAATGTGAGTGCTGAGGAGCTTGGAGTTTGAAGTCATACGAATACATTTGCAACCAGCTTCTGCTTGTTACTTTCTATGTGATTTTTGTTCAAGTTATTTAACTTTCCTCTGTCTCAGCTTCCAAATCTATAAAATGAGGAAAATTACTAGTTCCCATCTTTAGGATGATGGTGATAAGTAAGCATAATACTAACATTAATTAAAAAATAATTATTGTTATTGTTATACCAGGGGTGTATTTTAGCAAAAGGACTCAGGTAAGATATGGACGAAGGAATAGAGGGGAAGTGGCCAGAGGGTGGACTGATGGAGCCCATGCAGCAATCAGACCAGACAAGTGATGCCTCCTGTGTGACCAACACTGGTTTTATGGAGTTTGTTACTATAAACTTTTGAAGAAAGGGGGAGAGTAGAAGATATAGAAATAAGCTACAGCTATGTTCTAGGCAACCTGGCAGTAAACTGATATTCAACTGAATTATTTGATTCTTACAATAACCCTATAAAGAACTCTCAGTAGTCAGAAAAAGAAGCACAGGGATTTAGCTCATAGCTAGTGGGTGTAAATTTGGGCTCTTTCTAACTCGCTCTGCATGGCTCATCCTTAAATGAAAGGATGAAGATATTCTCTCTTCTGAGTGGTGGAGCTCCCGAAGTACTAGCTGGCCACATGGCTTCCCAGTGAAAGACTACATTTCCCAACTTCTCTGAGTGGGACCAATGGGACATGAGCAGTGGCGATGAGTGCATCTATGGGGCCTTGTCCTTAGATGAAGGTGCTTCTCACCACCTGCCCCTTTCCCCCTTCAAGAAAGTGCAACTCATACACGATGATTTTTCAAGAGGAGAACAACCAGATAGAGAGAACTGGGGTTTCTGGACAACCTTGTGCTATAAAGCAGACTTCCTATCCTGGACTTCCTGTCTACATCTGAACTCACTTTTCTTTCTTCCTTCCTTCCTTCCTTCCTTTCTTCCTTTCTTCCTTCCTTCCTTTCTTCCTTCCTTCCTTTCTTCCTTCCTTTCTTCCT